CCTTGCAGCCCTTCTTTTTCTCTAATTTTTGGTCTGCAAACTCAGGTTGTTAACCCTCCAGAAGAGAAGCTTATTATTACCCAACAACATATGCAGTTGGGTTTAACCTCACTATCTGTCTGAATATCAAATGTCTTAATATTTTTCAGTGGTAGTTTTCAGTATACAAATGCTGACTTTTTGTTGTTTATCCAAATTTGTAATTGTTTTTTGTTGTTGTTGTTGTATATGTACTTTCTTTTTTGCTCTACTGGGGATTGAACCCAAGGCATTGCATGTGCGAGGAAAGATGTATCTCAAACATCTGTCTGTCTGTCTGCTTGCCTACCTGACTGCCTACCTGCCTACCTACCTACATGTGGGATGGAGTCTCACTAAGTTGCCCAGCCGTACTTTGAACCTACAGTCCCCCTGCCTCAAGTTTTGAGTGCTGGTGTGACAGGTGTAAGCCACGATTTTTGGCTTGCTTTCTTAATTTACTTTTCAGCTTGTTTGTTGCAATTGTATAGAAGTTATATATCTTGTATAGCAAAACCTTGCTGAACTCATTTGTTAGTTCTAATAGTTTTTTGTGGTCCTAGCAACTTTTTGATATAGTTTTTAAAATACAATACCATGCTATTTGTAAATAGAGATGTTTCACTTCTTCCTCTCAAAATTGAATACTGTTTATTTATTTACTTATTTGCCTAATTTCCCTGGCTTGAGCCTCCAGCACAGTGTTGAGTAGAAATAACATAAGCTGGCATCTTTGTCATATTTCTCATCTTCGGGGTTTCTCATCTTAAGCATTCATACCCATTGGGTGTGGGTTAACTGGGTATTTTTCATACATGCTTATTGTCAGATTAAGAAAGTTTTCTTCCATTCGTGGTCTGTTGAGTGTTTTTGTCATGAAGAAATGTTGGGTGTTGTCACATGCTTTTTCTGTGTCTGGTCAGATAAGACGATTATATTACTTTTACTTTGTATTTGTGTATCTGTTTTGCCCTGTAGGAGACATTTCCATCTTGTTATTTGATCTTTCTCCTCAACTGCTATGTGGGAGAGGGGAGATACAAAATCTTTTGTGTGTATTTCAGGGTGAGGAACAGATATTAAATCTATTTCTCAATTCCTTAAATCTCAACAGACAGAATCACCATCGCTTCCATTGACGAGACTGCCTAAGGTTTTTATTTTATTTAATCTATGGAGTTGTCTTGTCTACTTCACATTTCAGTTAGAAACAGCTGTCATCAAATCCATCACCCAACGTGATGCTGTAGCCGTGACTTAGCCCGCAGCAAACACTGATCTGAAACTGAAGAGTCTTCTCTTCCTAAAATTCAGCAGCACTCATGGAGACCCAGCAAAAGGTCTTTCCAGCCTCTGCCTCCCGTCCTCTGAGCTCAGGGCACTCGACTCATGTTACTGAAGACTTTTTTTTCCAAGGGGACTTAATAAATCATGGCTTTTACTGACTCAAGTGTCACGGGGGAAAATAGGATTTAAATTTGATGGTGTGGGCTTTAGCCTTTAAAAGAACACTATATTTTTTCTTCTTAAAATGGAAAATTTGAAAAGAGTTAAATAGTAAAAAGAAGAGAAATAGAATTATGCACAATCCTACTAAATGGACCTCATTTGTGCTGGTGGTCTTCATAGAGTTTTCTTCTTCTGTGTTTTCTTCATGACTTTGAGATCAGGCTGCATTTTATAATTTTATGACCTGCCTTGGCTCTCCCTTCAATATGATAAACATATTTACTGCTGCAGTAAATTCTAGGCAAATACTGGCTGTAATGACAATATATAGTGGAATTTCCTTAACTGTTACTCTCTTGATGGACATGCAAATGGTCTGTAATTTTTGCTTTCAAAAAACATACTGCTATTAACATGCTTTTTCTGAGACTGAGGTTAAAACATGGCCTGTGTTGATGTTTGAATTTAAAAGCTGTACTCTGTAGACTAGCAATCAGGGGACCCCTAGTGATTCTGGTTGTTCGCTTAAAATCTGTGTGCCTTAATCTGTCATCTGTGAAGTTAACCAGACAAATCCCCTCACAAAAACAGTATTACCACAGAAATTGACCATAATGAAAATATTTCTTAGCCTGGGATAATGACCCATATTAACAGTGAGCTGTTGATTTCATTAGAAGGAAATCTACTACTGTGAATAGCTCGCTACGCGAAGGCCTTCTTCCCAGGCCTGGTCCACCGTGCCGGCCATAGCACAAATCCCCTCTTAATTCACACAGCCTTGACCAGTAGGGGAAAGGAGAACTATAACTTGTGACCTCAAAGGCACTTGGGTTTTTTTTGGAAATGCAAAGAAAATATGACATTTGTTCAAATGAGATAAAGCCTTTCTTTGGCTTCCGAATGTTTTATCATTTTGTATTTTCTTTAAAAAAATGCCACACACTTTCAAGAAAGCCCTTAAGTATAATAGATCTGTTGCCAAGAAATTTCTAATCTGACAAAAAAATGTAAGCAGCATTGTTCATTCATCCTAGTGCGCACTACCTTGAATTAACCCATGGCCACTAGTAATAAAGTACTCCAGTTGTCACCACAGAGCCAGCTTGGAGCATCAGCCTGATCCTGCACCTCCTCACAGATGCAGGCAGGGCTGGTCCGGGGTGATAGGGACCTGAGAACCCCTGTGACTGAGGAGAGGATGTCCAGAAGTAGATTTAGGTTCCTGAGATGGCCATTTTGTCACCATCTCTGTCCCTCTGGAGTTACATGTTCTGCTGCTTTCTACTCAGTCTACACCCTCAGCAGTTCCCACCAGGGCTGTCTACTGGTGTTGCATAACCATCCTTTACCTTTCTCCCAGCAAAGCACAAATGAGTTCTGAGTTTAGTGTTACGAAACAGTCTAATGAATTTGTCTTATGAGTCATCAAGTTGAAATGAAAATTCAGCCATTTTAATTAATTGCTTCATTGGGTGATATGACTTTTTATACTCTCACAGTCATTTCTTCTGGTTGTTTAAAAAAAAAAAGTATTTTGAGGTACTTTTACCTTTATGGTAATTGGAACAAGATGGTAACACCTATAGTCTTAACTTCTAATGAGTTTTTCATTCAACATCGAGGGCTATATTTCCCAGAAATCCAAGAGGAATCCCATAGCACTGATATTCTGGAACTTTCAGGTTTACCCATTCCAAGGTTTTAGGAGTAGGGATGCTAAAGTAAACAATGAACTCCCAGGATTAAGTTGGCTTAAGGCTGTGAAATGCTCTCACCTAATTGATTCACAGACTGGTTAAAAGTAATAAATACACCTACGGTATTTTCAGGGAGGTAGGCAAGACTACTCCTGTCTAGGTAAGTGGTTTTATATTTATTTTATCAGACTTTTAAACAGGTTTCAGTTTACAGAAAAATTAAAAAGTTCAGACTTCCTACATTGTTCCTACCTCTTCAATTAGTAAAGACTTATGAAAGGAATGTCCACACTGCCTCAGTTTCCCCTGGATGACTGCAGTGTAACTTGAAATGCTTGTACCATTCTTCATAGAAATGTTGCCATCCTCAGCATTTCTCACTCATGACTAGATTCCAGTCTTGGAATAGCGAGGCCCCTGGCCTCAAGCACCCAGCACAGTACAGTGAGCCCCTTCCTCCACTGGGACCAAAACCTGTAGCTCGGACCCTGACCTTCTGGTTTCCAGTCTACCCTGGCCTGCAGGAAACCACACTGAACCAGAACCAGTACAGGCTGTCACTGGGGTAGGAGGTGGGGGTGGTCTTCACATGAGACATGATTGTCATCACGGAGAAGGTGAAGCAAAAATCAGAAGCAGAGGTGACTGTGGGAAGAGGTTTCCTCTTGATCTGGAGCTCATTTGGATAAGCCCGAAGCATGTGTCTTTCTTAGTCAACGCTAGAACACTAGGCTGTGAGTTTCTAGAACAGTTCCTGGAAAAGAAAACCAAACTTAGACACCATCATAAGGAATGGGAATGTCCAGGAGATCCCCTGCAAGGTGAATAACAGCTAGTGTGACTTTCTTCCAGGTCCCATCTTTAATGCCTCTGTGCATTCGGACACACCATCGGTCACCCGGGGAGACCTGATCAAATTGGTCTGCAACATCACCGTGGAAGGAGCCCTGGACCCAGGTAGCTCCCTCCATTCTTTTCCCTCTCCCGTATTGTTGAAACATTTTTATATTATCCGTCCTGTGTCACCCAGCTGTGGGAAGCGGGGGTCTAGCTTGTCCATCTCCGTAGTCCTTGGCTTGCAACTGCCTTGACTGAATGCTAACATCTGTTGGATACTTAGAAACACATCCAGGTAGTTAAGTTTCAGTTCCAGGACATTCAGTGGGTCCCCTCGGGTACTGATTTGAAACCCCCTGGTAGGACTTTCTCTCTCTCTCCGTGTCTCTCATTCATTCATTCAGATATCATGGAGATCCTTCAGTGTATAACCACTGCTATAAATGCTGGGCACAAAGCAGTGAACAAAGTTCTCTGTTCTCGTGGAGTTTGCAGTCCAGTTATAGACACACGCGAGACAACGGCAATTAACATTATGAGGAGATATAGTACAGAGTGAGGGAGTTTTAGCAAGTGTCCAGGGGTGTGATTATAAAATTTTTAGGAAATGTTTTCTTTACAGAAAAGGTTACTATTAACCACAGCAAACCTAAGAGCAGTAGGACCACCTCACACCTTTTCTGCTCGGCCCCATTCACTGACAAGGTGTTGTCCCTCTCTTGTTCCTGATCCTTAAGTCCTGGCAGATTGACTACACACAATAGCAGGACACACAATAGTTGTTTAGCGGGACTGTGGCCCCCTCTGGCTTTTCCCAGAGTGCCCGTGAAGTACCTGACTCACACAGGACTGCCTTTTGTCCTTGGCTCACTTTGACCCTGGATGCTGTCCAGACCCACCCATAGTAAGCAGCATCGGGCTCCATGCGGATTTGCACCTTGAGAAGGACACACTGTGTTATATGGAGACTGCTGGAAGTGTGGCTGTGGTGCGTGTGGTGCTGGGGGTGGGGGGACACCAAGAAACAGGTGTCATTTGGGAAGGAGGGGCAGGTGCCAGGGCCGAGGGCAGTGGCCTCTAGAGCAGCCAGGAGGAAGATCCAGTGTAGCAGGCCCTGAGCCTTGGTGGCATTTGGGAGCGGGCGCCTGGAGCCAGTGCACCAGGCAGCTGCTGACCCAGTACACCCCTGGCTTCTGGAGGACTTTCGTTGGATGGCTCAGATGGCAACTTGTCTGAGGTTTTCTCTTAAAGCCCCAGTAGGAAATATTTTTGGTTCTACAAGCCAGATGGTCTCTGCAGCAGCTCCTCAATTTTGCCACCATAACAGGAAAGCGGCTGTGGATAACCGCGTAAACTGATGGGTGTGGCTGTGTGCAGTGGAGAGCTGTTTAGCCACACAGATGTGGGCCGGACTGGACCTGTTGCTGGTGATGTGCTGATTGCGAACCTTCGCTAGCCGTGCTTTAGGGGTAGGAAGAAAAGATTGTAGGGGACGGAAAAAAGGGAAAGAAGAAAGAAACCTATCAACTGATGGAGTTGGTTAGCTCTGTCTATGGGGGCAGGGAATGAGGAAAATAGGACTTAGGTGAGAAGCCACTACTGCTCTGAGGTGGGAAAGATTGAGGATACTAAGGTGCCATTCAGAAATGGAAATGAAAGTAAAAGTAGAAAAGATTGCCAGAGAGAAAGGAGAGAAATCCTTCCTAAGAGTTAGGCTAATGGAATGCCATGTTTACCCTTGTATCACATTTATGATATATGCAAAAATAAATCCTTTAAATGTTCTTTCTCAATAAATTAATGGGTCACCAGTTGTGCCCTTAGTGTAAAAATATTTTTCTCCAGTGTAATTGCTAAAGCTATAGGTAGCTGGTAATCTTGCAGGTCATAATTTTCCAGAACTTTGCATTCTTGGACTGTGTGGGTGGAAGATTCTGAATAATTAAATACACATTATAATTTAGTTTTCTCTCACACATCTTCTGGACTGTGAGGAAATTCTCCTTGGGAGAGTTGCGTAAGTAGGCCAAGGGCTGAGGCGCCCCCGTGCCAGGGCAGGTGGCAGAGCACGGGTTGTGCCCTGAGTCAGCTTCTCTTGAAGCAGAGTCCACAGTGACCCATTGGAGGGGTGCTCTGTGGAGAGTCCCTGGGAAATAGCACTGAAGAAGTCAGGCAGAGGTAAGAATCTAGAATAAGTCTCTGTCTGCAGGGGCTCTTGGGGTGTGAGTGCTTTTGGGGTATTGTTCAGCTTGAGTGAGAGGACCGGGCTCACCCTCCTAAAGTCAGTCATTGCCCAGGACATGTGGGGCCAGGGACTGAGTGTGTTTCATAACCTCCACAAGACCTGTCTAGATGTGGCTTCTGTCAGCTAGGGCCAGTCCTCTGGAGAAGGTAAAGGTGAGAGAGCTTTAGCAGCCAGCACCTGCCACAGGTAGCAGAGCCCCGGAGGTGGGGGGTGGGGGGACCAGCAGCATCTACAGATGGCGGTGGCGGTCCTCTTCCTATGCACAGTGTCTTTGTAGGACCAAGTATCAGAACCGCGCAGGCGATGAGTTCATGGTGCTCAGCTTTTATTGGGCCTTGGTGCTCTTCTAAGCATTTTTATAAATATAGTTAATTTAGGTGTGGGTGTTGTTTTATAGACAAGGAAGTTAAGTTGCAACGAACTTAAGCACCTTCCCCATGTCACATGGCTGGTGTTGATGGTGCTGGGATCTAGCCCCGGGAGCCCACCTCAGAAAGCACCAGGGACAGTCAGGGCTTGGAGTCTGGGTGCACATACTGGGAACACAGCTTTGCCTTTTTGCCTTGAGGAGCACCCAGCACCTCGGGTGGCAGCAGCACTGAGTTAGTTTCCACTGAGGAGATGAGTGAGGTTGAGGTGTCCCTCTGCCCAACACCCGCAAGGAAGAGGAGGTTGACGGCACTCATGCGACCCCCTCAGAGCTGGCCTTTTTTGAATAGAAGTGACTTACATTCTGGGAACAAGCGAATTTTATGCTTACATTCCACAGGGGCGTGGCAGGAAGAAAAGGAGATTCTGTGTTGTATTTTCAGAGTGAGCGGAAAAGGAGTTATCATTGGGCTAATTCTGTAGAAATTTCTACTTTTACTTGAACTTACCTTCTTTTTATTATGAAACTACCTGAACACCTATTAGCCGTATAATACGCCTTTTGACGTTATTAGTATACTTTTTTTTTTTTTTTTTTTTTTGGTTCTGGGAATCAAACTCAAGACCTTGCACCTGCCTGGCAGGCACTATGTTGCTGAGCTATAGCCCTGACCCTACTGTACTGTTACTAAATGAAGAAGTGTTACATTTTATATAAACTGCATTGTACATGCATAACACATACATACATGAACATATATTGTCAGGCGGATTTCAGGTAGAACATGCTTGTGGCTTATGGGCCTCCCTTGCCTGCTGGATAAGTTAAGGCAGCCGCAGCCACTGTCAGTTGGTACTGATGAGGAGTTGTGGTCCAGAGTTCGGGATATGTGCTCCCTTCCCCCTCTTGGAGAATCAACGCTGTGCTGGTGTCTTCCTTTTCTCATGCCCATATTAATTTATTTGAGGCTGTTAGAACCCTAATCTTGCAGGGTGCTTTACGATCCAGCCGCAGTGCTCACTGGGACTGTTAAACTACATTCAATTTTCTCAGCTTGATATTTGTTTCCTCTTGTTTTGAACTTACCCACTTCTGCAAGAAAAAAAAAAAAAAAAACTATAGCAAACGATAAAATTCTAAATTGTTTATGGCTCTAAATTTTGTACACTTTGATGTAAATGTTTTTTATGACTTAAGTCTCTCTAGTCTGTGGTCTTTGGCCTGAAATGTCAAAGGACCCAGCTTTCTCTGGGAGACAGCATGCAGTGTCACCACCCTCAGCTTTATTTTCAGTGCTGTGTGGGGAGGCATCTTAATTTGCCCGACCCTTCTGGGGACTCCCCAGGCCAGGTGGGCGCAGTGTGGTGTTTAAGAGGCTGGATCCCACAGGCTGGCCACGTAGCTCAACAGACCAAAACGCCTGCTTAGGCCCCAGGGGTGGGCGGAGCTGTTAATGGAGACTGGGCGTGGTGGCGCGCACCTGTCATCCCAGCACTTAAGAAGCTGAAAACAGGGTCCAATTTGAGTCCAGTCCATCTAGTGAGACCCTGTAGACCCTCTACTAAATACATTAAAAAGAAAAAGACTGGATCCTGAAGCTGGACTTGCTGAGTTAGGTTGAGTCCAGCCTCGATCAGAGTGGCCCAGCATAGAGGCGGATGAAGGTGCTTTCACCACACGGCCGCTGTGTGCACGCGTACGTGGAGCACAAAGCAGGCGGGCAGCACACACGTCGCGTGCACGCGGCAGCTGCGTGAGTCTCTCCACTGCGCTGAGCTCAGGGCTTGGCTTCTAGTAATTGCCATGTTCTCTGGTAATTCACAGATAACATGGCCTTTGACGTGAGCTGGTTTGCGGTACACTCCTTCGGTTTGGACAAAGCTCCCTCCCTGCTGTCCTCCTTGGATCGGAAGGGGATCGTGACCACGGGCAGGAGGGACTGGAAGAGTGACCTCAGCTTGGAGCGCGTGAGTGGGCTGGAATTCCTGCTGCAGGTACATGGCTCTGAGGACCAGGACTTTGGCAACTACTACTGTGCCGTGACACCGTGGGTGAAGTCCCCAACAGGTTCCTGGCAGAAGGAGACGGAGATCCTCTCCAAGCCCATCTTTATAACCGTGAAGATGGATGGTAAGCATGGCGCCCAGGCCCTCTTGCTGGCAGTCCTGTCTCTGCTGTGTCACAGCTGCCATAGCCAGGCCTCCACAGTCTGGCTTCCGTGCCACCGCACGTCCGACTCGCTTTTTCTCTAGGCCTGGCGTAGGCTCAACTCTGAAAACAGGCAGCCCTTGCTCATTCCCGGCTATCATCCTGTGCAGGGGGCACCAGTGGGAAATAATTTTCAAGACTTACTGGAAAAGAGCCGGCCAAATAGTTCAGCAGATTGAAGCACCTGCAAGCAGATGCAGGGTCCAGGGGTTCGATTCCTGGAACTGCCGTGCCAGCTCTGCCCCTGGGCGCGCTGAGACTGGGCATGGTGGCACGTGCCTGTAATCTCAGCTTTTGGGAGGCTGTAAACAGGCAGATCATTATGAGTCTGATCTAGTAGTGAGACCCTGAACATCCTGTTTTCTCTTCCCTAAAATACAAAAAAAAAAAAAAAAGACTTACTGGAAAGAATTTCAAGGCTTTGTCTTTTCTATAAATTCTGTAGAAATCTGCTTACCTGTGTCCTGAGATTGGCAGGGGCCACCAGTGTTAGAAGAGCTAAGTCAGGTGTCCAGAAGAAGCCACATTAAGTGCTGGCTGCCCTTCCCCTCCCCCCCCCCCGTTCACCTAAACAGAGTGGGGGCATCACAGAGCCCCCAGGTGCAAGGATGACTCCCCACTTCTCTGGTCCATGCTGACCACTACATCAGCCTAGCTGAATGGGTCCTTGAACATGAAAGGTGGGAATACTTGTTTTTTGATTCATAGAAAAACACGCCTGGGCTGGCGAGATAGCTCCGCGATCTAAAGCACCTGCTTAGGTAAGCTTAGGCAGGTGCAGGGGACTGCAGTTCGATCCCCGGCACCACATGCCACCCCAGCCCCACCCTCAGGACAGGCTGAGCCAGCCCCCTTCCCCCCCAGAAAAAAGATTAAAAAAAAAACAACAACACATCTCCCCTACAGAAAGCTATGGAAAATAAATGCCAATTAGGATACTCCATGGAGAGAATTAAAATTCAGGTGTGTCTTAGTTACTTTTTACTCGTTGCTGGGACAAATACCCGACAGCCAAAATGAAGGAAGGGAAGGTTTATTTAGCTCACAGTTACTAGAGGCTTCAGTCCATACTCAGCTGGGTCCAATGCAGAGCAGCACATAGCAGAAAGCAACCTTTCATGGTGGAGGCAAAGAGCAAGAGCGCAAGGGAGGGGTAGCAGCAGCTCAAGCAGCTGGCTTCTCTTCTCACCTTACATTGTAATGCAAATTACCTGCCCCTGGCAGGGCAGCATCCCCACCCACAGAAATCAATCACAAACTCCAGAAGCCACCCCAAGACTGCATGAGGCTTTGGGGAGGGGGGACACCTATACACAAACCATAACAAGGTGCCTCCAAGATTTAGTAGAAGCCTTAGGAATGTTTCCCTCCAGATATGCCAGTTTGGGGTGATGTCCCTAAGAACCCCAGTTCTTCCACAGACAGGTTGGCTTTTTGATTGTCTCTTTTAAAGTGGGACAATAGTATCTCCTGGAGCTGTTGTGAAAATCTAACCATATTAGGCTAAGGGACTGGCTCAGTGGTACCCACCCAAGGCGTAGAGTGCTTAGAGGGAAGGGAAGACAGGGCCTCTGGGGCAGCCTTGGTACAGTGTTTGCACGTATTTAGAACTTGCGTCATCTCTAGAGTGTCTGCCTCTTGGAAATTCCTTGCTTGAACTTGCTGTATATGAAAACCCAGATTTACCAAACAAGTAGAGGAGTGATTATTCACTTTGCTCGATAATTTACTATAGTGTTACTTAAAATAACTCCCTAGCACACTTCGGTTATTTGATGCATAGAATTGATTTATGCAGAGTTGTTTTTTTTTAAGTTGCATCTGCTACTGAACGTGCAGTGCCCTTATACTGACTTTTAAAAATCAGTCTCCTGCCAAAACCCTAAAAACAAGTTGACATTCAGAGGCAGCAAGTGGAATCTTTTTTTCTGCTCCCTACCCCACAGAACATGGGGAGACATTTGCTCATTTTGTCAGTGGCTGATTCTTTTCTTCTGCAGCACTGCGCTAGGTAGGCAGTGCTGGGTGCTGGATTCATGAGACCTGATCCCCCTGGGCAATCCTGGTGTGGGGCACAGGAAGGCAGTGATATGGGGATGTGAAATTCCCAACCTGGCCTGAATGAGTTCGTGTTCTCTAAAACCAAAGAATGAATTTTAGGAACAAACGGAGGCTGAAGGTAAAACTTTATTGGAAAGGAAAGCTTCTGTCGGAGAGGGACAGAAGGGGGTCCCGAGCGGGTTGCCCAGGAAGCTGTCTCCTTCAGGTTATTTTATAGGACAAAACCATGCGGGGCTAAGGTAGAGGCAAAGGGGTCTCGCTTAGGCAGATACAGGGTGGGACAAAACTATGGTCAACCAATGGGATTACAAGCACCATTGCCCAGGTAAAATTTATTAGGCCCAGGACCAAATGGGGTAGCGAGTCATGTAGCAAGCGGGCGACCTTATCTGGTGGCCTTCAGTCAATGATTCTTCCCAACTAATGAGCAATCCTGGATGCCAACTTTAGGGAGGTCAGCATTTGTTTGATCTTTAGGTCTGGCTCACACCAAGAGCATCTCCCCAGTAAGATGTCTGGTCTTTGTCATCCCCTTCGAGGGCCTGTCCCTGTCTAACTACCTACAGTATTTCTATCTAACTCGGGCTGCCTGCAACAGCAACAGGCTCCAGCCGCATCGTTGAGGCCCTGATGCCTGCTCTTGTTCTCTTCTTCCCAGTGCTGAACGCCTTCAAGTATCCCCTGCTGATCGGGGTGGGTCTGTCCACCGTCATCGGGCTCCTGTCCTGCCTCATCGGATACTGCAGCTCACACTGGTGCTGTAAGAAGGAGGTGCAGGAGACGCGGCGGGAGCGCCGGCGGCTCATGTCAATGGAGATGGACTAGGTGGCGGCCAACAGGGAGGGGCCAAAGGACGTTCTGGGACGGTGGGGGTGAGAAGAGGACAGTGATCCTTCAAAGGAAGTGCGTTACACTAAAACCAGTCCTCTCTAATCTCAGGTGGGACTTGGCGCTCACTCGTTTCTGCATGTCAGGTTCAGAGCGCGGATGTGTTTACCAGCACGCAGCTCCTCATCCCACAGCACTTTCTGATGTATAACAATCGCGTGTGTTTCCCCGACTGCAGCTTTTTAATGGTTAACCTTCGTCTGATTTTTTTTTCTTCTCCTACTGGCTTAGAGATCCTCCGACTTGTGTGTGTTGGTCACTTTTGTTGCGATGGCTTGTGGTGAGGAAGGGGTAATGGCGGTCAGAGTTCTTTATCTTGCGTGAGATTGTGCCCGCCCATAGTAGGGGCTCCCTTGGGGAGGGCTGCCGCGGCTCTGCCCCAGCTGAGAGGTGACACAGACCTGTGCCGAAGGCTCGTTTGTGGTTTTCGCTACCCTGCTCCATCTCCCTATTTCCAGGAGTTTAGACTACATTGGAAATCTAAACTTGGGGTACGTAACTTCTCATGGAGCCCAAATGCATTTCTTTTGCTTCTCTGCCCCTCCGCCATTTCTTTTGCATCCGTTTTCTGTAAGCGTGCTACTAGGGCAGCCCTGGAGTTTGGAATTTGGCTTTCCACCGAGCACCTTATCTCACCACCTTCGCCTTAAGAGTGAATATGAGGATAAAACCACAGCTGCCTCCACCCAGGGCAGATAGAAGTTCTGCAAAGAGGAGGAGGTTGGGGACCAGAAAAGGACAGACATTCTATCAGATGGATCTGCACCCGCTGACCCAGGGCCGCCAAGGAGAGCTCTAGGAAGTTAGGGTACGCAGCCCGCACCCAGAGGTCAGTGCAGTCAGGGCAGTGCCAGGCTGAAGCAGCCCCCCATTTTGCCCTTCTGCCCTTCATGAGGCAAAGTGTAGGCCACCAGGGGCCTTGCAGGGGACCCTCAGATAGGCCGTGTCCTTCATTTGCCTCTTGGGTCCCTTTGCATGAAAGCAAATTGCTGTTTGCAAGATTGACTGACTTCAAGGACTCAGAAATTGCTTGGAGGAATCATGTGTCTTCAGTGACCTTTTCAGTCCTTCAAACCTTTTTAAGAGCCCCTGCAGGGGGCCGGTGAGAGAGGGTATACTTGTTGGTATGTTTGCTTTCCTATTAGGAAACCCAGCAATTTACTGTCACGTGGGCAGCCTGTAAAGTAGGGCTGAGAGCAGCTGCTGTGCCCGACTGCCCCCATCAGGAGCAGAGGAGCAGACAGGAAGATGCTCCCGGTCCCCAGCTTCCACTTTGGCAGCGTCGCACCCCTCCAAGCCCTGGCTCCCTGGAGCGTCTCACACCCCACACTGCACTGGCCTTCTGGAAGCACCCCAGTGGGGTTTCCTGAGGCTCCCTGGTGACTCATGCCCTGATGGCAATCCTCCTTGCATTTATTCTGGCTCTGAAGTGTCTAACACTGCTCTGTCTTCCAAAAGAGAAAAAGATGCGTTTGTTTTGAGCAATAAAGTAATACAGAATGATAGCCCTTCCTGTGCAGCTCTTTGTCACCACAGGCCGGATGAGCCGAGCTCCTCTCCGCTCTCCACCCCCGCTTCCCTCTCTGCTGCCTATGACTGGGCCTCCACTATCACTGGGTCGATCCCAGAGGCAGATTTCTACCTAGTTTTCCTTTTTTATTTTGCCCAGTGTGGGGACCACTCCTGGAGTAGAGATGCGAAATTCTATGCTGATGGCTGCAGTACGGTTGGGTTCCAGGCTTCAAGTGTGGTGGAAAAACAGGCCGCAGGTATGCCCTACCCCGGTGAGAGACTGCAGGAAACAGAGACCTCCTCAAGGCACTAGGTTCGGGTGTTCTCTACATGCCATTTCCTAAATCCACTATTTCAGAGAGAGTAGGACATGAATGAACGTATAAACAGGAGTTAAGAGCAGCAGGCGCTGTCTTAGTTGCAGCCAGTGCCCTTGGGGTCTTCCAGTTACTACATGAAGGTCAGGATTGTTAGGGCACTGGTCCTCTTTAGTAAGAGGACAAAGTACTTAGCTTTGGACAGGACCAGGTAGATCGCACCAGACACACGGTGGTGGTCAAGGGATCAAGTGGTCACCTTTGCCTTTCGAGTGGGTGGTGCAGTTAGAGGCTGCGTTGTCACAGCACTGATTTGCACATACCCCGCTATGTCCTTTTGGGTCAGCCAAACCTCACCTCAGCAAGGGGCAGGGAGAGGGGGCAGCAATCCCGGGACATGGCGCCGAGGACCTGGCACCTTCCGGGGACATAAAATTGCTTGGGATGAGTGTCTGTTTTAAAATGTGAGATATGCTCTTGTACCAAATAGGGCTTCCCACAAAGTGCTCTTCTGGGAGAGGCTGCTGCCAGCAGCGCGGGCGAGCGTGGAGGAGGGGCCGGGCCGGGCCCCACGCGGATGGAACTGCGCTTCTTGACAGAAACTGTGGAAGGTTGGGTTTTTCCCCAATTGCTAAGGTGTATCCAGAAGGAGCCTAAGCTGTGTTCAGATAGAAGCCTCAAAATTACTTTAGATTGTTTACTTTATGATGTTTACATACACGTTTCACTTTAAAAAAAAAAAGAAAAAAGAAATAAAAGAAAAATGCAAACTCTGGCTTTTTAAAAACTTTTCAGATTTTTCATGGGACAATGGAACTCCGACTCACCAGCTGAATTCAATCTTAAGTTAGAGGTGTACTCATGTGTGTTTCCCCCTCCTCCCGGCCACGCGGCTCCCTCCTGCCCACATCTCTGTGTGTTGCCCTGGTGGCTCTCGCCTCTTGCTTTGCAGACTGCAGCCGCGATTTTGTCACTGACATCCGTGAGCCAAAGACTGAGCCTTTCGGGCAGGAACAATAAGCAATACTACACAACTTGCGACTTTCAGAAAACTTTTGTTTTTTAGCTTCACCGATGACAACAGAGGAAGAAGGGAACTGGGCTTCGGGTAAGTTCTCCTCCGCTGTTCGACCAAACTCTCAGTGGTAGACGTCTGTGCAGATCACTAGGAAAACGGCTTGACTGTCTTTTGAGCGTGGCGCATCAGGATCTGCAGAATTTTCCAGAGACAATGAAAAGGTCTTCTGTATTTTTGTCCATATCCAATGTTAAATGAACTAATTGTATTGTTTTATACTGTGACCACAGATATTATGCAATGCACCATTTGTTTTTTATTTCATTAAAGGAAGTTTAATTTAAATTGCAGTTGTGTGAGGAACTTGATGTTGGCCCTTTGCCTTTGCACTTCTCCATGGTGGATGGTTTCCCCAGCACTGTCTGATCTCATTGAACTCTATAAAAGGCATTGTAGACTTTTCATGAATGATGAAAGAAGAAGTGGATTTCCTGGGGTCCGTGTTGAGGTTCCCGCCAGTGGAAAGGTGAGGGCTGGGATCCTGTCCCCGCGGATGGTCTCTTGGTCTTTTGCTGAATTCCCACGACCTCACAGACCTCTTTTCAGCAAGGAGAAGTTAAAAATTATCCCTCTCTGTAGATGAGGAAACACACACCAATGTTTCATGACCATTTGTAACCGGAACACAGTGGTTTTCCTGACTCGTGATGCAATCTGGAGCCAAGCTGGACCAGAAGGTACCAGTCTCTACAATATGAAAACAAACAGTCCTCTTCCCCAGATGACTGGCTTGAGGACACCTGGCAGCAGATTGTGCTGAGAGCCCCGGCACCGGCGCTTGGCCAGCCTCTGCAGCTGGCTGTCCCATTGGCCTCATCTGGGTTTCCTCTGTCTTTCATACCCTATTCAGAGACCTTCACACTGTGAGGTGTTCAGGGCTGGGTGTGTGTCCTGGGCACTCACATTGCCCAGTGATTGGCATTGTTCCAGGCACATAGGAAGCTCTTGGACTTCATAAATGCGCAGTTATGTTGCCTGCTGCCCAAAATGACCTGTCATTACATGCTTCTCAGTGTCTGCTCATGTCAAAATACTGAAGTGGTCAGAGCTGGCGTTTGCAAGCAGCTCCCTGTTAGTGAACCCATTCCTTCCTCCAAAACAAAACAAAAACCTCCTTACACACCTACCCATGCACATATGAAAAGGGCTCAGCATTGTTAATGAAAATTGCACATCGAAACCACAATGAGATACTGCCTGACAGATCCCAAGAGAAGGGAGTCTGCTGCACTCCCGAGGGCCACACAAGCACCAGAGCTAGGAGGAGAAAGAACAAGGAGGAAACTGGCAGGGCAGAGGCAGCAGGGCTGGGACTGACTAGCTTGGCTAATTCCCACATTCTAGAGTGTGGGGACAATCCCTAGCTGTCTGGTGCCTGGCCTTGGAGTGATGAAGGTAAAAGGACAGCGGCCGTGAGTGTCAGAGAGGAGGTGATGGTGCGTGGGCTCTGGACAGTTGGTTTGCCTAGGAAAAGCACACTCCTATTTGAGTTCTTTCCTGTCTCTGGGAATTGGTCAGCACGGAGAGGGGCAGTGTGCCAAGATCAGCAAGCCATCAAATAGGAATGCATCTGACAATAAAATGTCATAATTAATCCATACTCGCTGCTTGGGGAATGCAGCCTGCTCAGGTACAGACCCACGGAGGTGCTGCTCCCTGCATCTTCGTGCTGTGTGCTCTCAAACCTATTTGTGGCAACAGTACTGCTTACTATAACTATACAGAGTCCATAGGGGGAAAATGTATGCACACTTCAGGGGAAGAAAAACAGTATATTTTTTTTCAACCCATACAAGGGATGCTAGGGATATCATTTATCGCAGAAAGCCTCCTGTGCCGCTAGCCCCTACAGCAGAAATCGAAAATGCACGAGCAGCAATCTCAGTGATCGAGGTTACCCCAGCAACAGCTCACTGGGCTGATGAATGTCTGAAGGCTCATGGCCACCACCCAGGGCTCCCGTTGTAACTGTAGAGGCCACAGGTCACTTGCATTAATCTCCTGACGGCTCAGTAAACTGAGTATTACAATATTTATATAAGTTTTTCCTTTCCTGAGTGTATATGCATTTTTTTTTTTTTGCCACACTCTGTATATATTCATTTAATAGCATGTCAACCGATGAAATGCCATGATCAAAGAAAGAGGTATTAAGAAATGCTATTGGTAGGGCTGGAGTAGTAGCTCATTGGTGAAGCGCTTGCCTAGCGTAGGTAAAGCCCTGAGTTCAATCCCTGATATCAGGGGAGAAAAAGAACAAGCCAACTAGTGCTGTTGGTAAACTGGATATTCATATGTAAGCGTTAAGGTGGACCCATATACATTATACTAAAAGCAAAACTAACTTGGATTAAAAACCTGAATGTAAGAATAAAGCTATAGAAATCCTAGAAGAAAATGGGGACAGCTTCAGAACACGGAGTCTGGTGATTAGTTCTTTGCATATGACACTGAAAGCATAGGCAAGGGCCAGGGAGATAGCTCAGTGGTCTAAGCATCTGCCTGGCAAGTGCAAGGACCCAGGTTCAATCCACAGTACCATATGCTGTGCTGCCTACCAAAACCAGGCGTGGTGGCGCACACCTGTAATCCCAGTGCTGGGGAAGTTGAGACAGGAGCATCACTATGAGTCTAAGCTGTGTAGCGAGACCCTGTACCAAATAAAAGATTTAAAAACAAATTTTTTAAAGCATGGGCTACAGGGCCGGGAAGATGGCTCAGTGGAATAAACGCTTCCCTGGCAAGCACAAGGGCCTGAGTTCAATTCCCGGTTCCGCAACAAAAAAGGAAAAAAGAAAGAAAGAAAAGTGTGGGCAACAAAACCAAAAATAGACAAACAGACAAAACTTCTGCAAGTCTGTCTTTGGCACTTTCTTGTTGCTGGAACAAAACACCCAACACCCACGACTTGCTGCAGGAGAGGTTTTTGGTCCGTGGGTTTTCAGTCCGCAGTCAGCCTGCTCCATGGCAGGAAGGGTGCGGGGGAAGGGTCTGGTGAAGGAAAGCCACACACATCACGGGAGCCCGAAAGTGGAGAGGATGAGGACCTGGGAGGGACAGAGCCCTCCGTGGCCACATCCAGCAACCCAAAACCAGCCAGGCCCCACCCACTCGGGCTGCTGCCACCCAGTCAGTCACCTTCCAGAAGCCCCATCTCTGAGGCTTTGGAGGACATTCTAGATCTGAAGCATAGTGATATCAAAGGAAACAGTCAGGGCCGGCCACATAGCTCAGGGGATTAAAGCGCCTGCAAGCAGGTGCAGGGCTAGGGGTCCCATCCCAGAGCCTGCCAATCTGCAGCCCAGCCCCCAGGGCACAGTGAGAGGGCAATTGAGACTGGGCCTGGTGTCGCGTGCCTGTAATCCAGCTCTCTGGAGGCTGTAAACAAGCAGATCACTACGAGTCCAATCTAGTAGTGAGACCCTGAATACCCTGTAGACCCTTCCCTAAAAAAATTAATTAATTAATTAAAGAAAACAATCAGAATGAAAAGTCAGCTAACAGAATGGGAAAAATAGTACCAATCATATATCTGATAAGGGGTTAATTTCCAGATTGGATAAGGACTTTGCTTATAACCCCCCCCAAAAAAATCTGAATAGGTAACGCTCCAAAGAATATTTACAAATACTCATCAAGCATGGGAAGAGTTGCTCTGCTCACTGCTCATAAGAAAAATGCAAATCAGAATCACCGTGAAGTACTGCCTGATACCCATTAGGATGGCCACTGATAAAAGAACATAAACCAGCAAGTGTAATTCTTGTGCATGAATGCAGAGAAATTGGAATGTGCACTGTTGGTGGGTGTGAATGTGAAATGAAGAACAGTGCAGCCAGCCATTGAAAAATGCAGTGTTGAGATTCTTCAAGAAATTAAAAACAGAACTAACAGGTAACTCCACGATCCCACTTCTGGGTAAAATACTGTATCAGGAAAAAAAAAAGTATTCTCCTCTTATGGAATATTATGCAGCCTTCAAAAATCTTGATGTCCAACATGGTTGAACTTTGATGACATTGTAAGTGAAATAAAATAGTTACAATAAAGATACATGATTCCTTTCAGATATAGTCTCTAAAAATAGAACAATAGCAACAGAAAGTATGAAAGATCATGGGCCAAGCACCAGGGGAGAGGAAATAACTGTCTAGTGGGTATTGTGCTTCGGTGCCGCAAGAAAGTTGTGGGGATCCTTTGCACAACCACGGCCCTAGAGTGACAACTAAATGTGCAGTCTGAAAATGTTAAGATTCAGGAGTGTGGTTCTCACCGCATTTTTTGTAAGAATAAATTTTATAGAAAGATTCAGTAGAGACAAATTTTTTTGTTTGTTTTTCGCACGCTACCCATTTAGGTGTGGGCAAGACAACTGGAAAGATTGAAGTCTGCAGGTGAGAGCAGAGGGTTACGGGAACATGAAAACGTGCTGTATTCCACTGGCTCCACAGATGTCTAAGTTCTTGCTCTATTTTATAGAAGCCAAACATGAAAGGTATAGAGAAGATGACAGAGGTTTGGTTTGTGCAAGAAAAGGGTAAGAGACTCTAGGAAGAGACCCGCGTTCAAGGGAGGACCTGGGCCCTCGTCGGGAGATGAGTCAGTGTGCGTGGAGGTGGCTTAAGTGGCAATGAATGTTTTGTGTAGATATTTTAATGATTCCTGACTTTACCTGATGGTTCTTCTTAAGTGTTAAGAGAACAGCCCTGTGGGCTGTGGGGTAGCTAACCGGCAGAGTGCTTCCTAGCGTAAGTACAGCCTGGGCTTGAAGCCAGAGCCACAGAGCCAAAACTGACAGCTGTAATAATGTCACGTAAGAGAATCTCTACTGTTACCACCCCACGTTTATAGATGAGGAACTTAAGACCTACATTAATCTGAGCCCAAGCCTTTCTCCCTTGAGTTTTTTTAGTATTATTATTATTTCTAGTGCCTGTGTGTAGCACATAATGGTTACATTTTTTATGGGGAGTTGGTCCAAGTACATAACGTATCTTAATTCCTTTTGGCCCCCACCCCTCCCATCTGGCTCCTTCCCACTCTTAGTGGCTTTCTGTGTGCAAAAACTGTGTCTCATGTTTAACTACCACATTGTATCTCTGGTGTGGGAAAACAAAAGGGTAAATAAAACCAAAATGTGTAGTAGATACTGGGAAGCAGGAAGCAGATGTTCACATGGGAAAGGGACAAAGGAAGGGAGAGGGAGAAAGGAAGGAAGGGAAAAGAAAAAAAGTAGGGGAAAATCGGTGCAACGCCTTTGTAAATGAGAAGAGGTGAAGGGAGGG